CCTGCGGTCACGGGGAACTGGGGTTACTGGGGAATGGGGTCCGTGCTGCCCCGGCAAGGCCTCGGCGCCGCGGCCGTCCGGCTTCATCCGGGCTCATCTCCGCTTGCCCGGAGCTTTTGTAACCGCATCTAATTACCAAGTGGCCGTTAATAAAAACTCTTTAGTTTTAGTTCTGCTTCCCCCTCACAGTGGCACGGTGTGACGTCTGCGGTTCGGAACTGAAGGGTGGGAACCAGTAACAGGCAGCTACACAGAATGAACCCCGGGGTGATGGCGTGGTGCAGAGCAGTACGGGCCCTGGGGGCTGGGCACCAGGGCGGGAGCTGAGGCCCCACCAGCAGCTCACCCTTGGGCAGCTCCTTTCAGTGATGCAAATCTAAGAGCCGGGAAAAATCTGTGTCCAGGGGCAACGGAGCAAAAAGCCAGCACCCAGCATGCACACAACGCATGGCCGGCTGTAACGGCAGACAGAGCAGCGAAGAGAGCGGTGGGATGTGCCAGAAAATGTGTAAACGCGGCCCCAGCAGACTTGAGAGCGAGGAGGAGGAAATCCCTGCTGTGCCCATTCCGCTGGTCCCAGCAGAGACCTCAGGACGCCAGCCACGCAGGGTGACCTCCTCTCTGCGACTGCCACCCCCACCACCCGCGGGCAGGGCCCGGGGGGCTCGACAGCCCCTGCGACCGCAGTTCGTTAGGGAGATTCGTTGTGCAGAAACTGGGTACGTCCCCAACAGGAGGCAAAGGCCGCAGTGAACCTGGGAGGGGGAGGTGTTCCCTGCCATGAGCCCTCCCCACCGCGGCCTCGCTGCTGCCGGAGGATGGGCTCAGTCTCAGAAACGACCCTCTGCGGCTCAGCACCCCCAAAGATCCAGCCTTGTCCCAAAGGTGTGAAGACACCCAAAGCCACAGGCAGCTGCAGAGCTTCCCCCTCTGCTCAGCTTCAGCTGCCAGGGGAAGGCGCCGGGGCAGCGCTCGAGCCTGCGCCCAGGCGTGAGGGAAAGCAAACTCCTCACGGCTCTCACCGACCTGCTTGGTGCTTCTGCCTCTCTGAAGGCAGCTCTGTAACCTTCTCTGATGGCTCTGTAACCCTCTCTGATGGCTCAGCATCCCACCGACGGGAGCACCACACAGACCTCTCAGCAGCAGCACTGCTCAGCAGAGGCAGAACACGGGGTTCAACCACAGAGCTGGTCCCAGCGAGCCTCACGCACCCCACCAGCCCTGCTCGTGCCTGTGTCCTCCCCGACTCGGACCTTATGATCCCGGTGGGGACGCACAGATCC